CTGCCTCCTGTACACCTCCCACTGGAAATGTGCCAGCAACCAAGGTACATGCCCTTGACCAGAATCGAACCCAGGACCTTTCAGTCCATAGGCCCATGCTCTATCCACTGAGCCAAACCAGTCAGGGCAACTTTTTTTTTTAAGCAACAGAACCCTTTCTCCAACTAAAATCCTGTGGAAAGGCTGATATGTAAATGAAATAAAAGTAGATCTACTCTGGTTTAAGAGAAGCCAGACCACCTCCTATTGGTCCCTTCTTGCACTCAGCCCCTCCCAGTGCACAGGGTTAGGGAACATAGTTTAATGAAAATCACTGGACTGGACTAAGTCTAAGAATTCTTCTGGCACTTTTGCCTTCCTGTAGTTATATTGGCTCTGCACTGGCCATTAGCCTATATATATCCTGTTCCAGAAACAGTAAGACAGGACTATTAATCATTTCTATAGTCGGTGGAGAATTTGAAGGGTTGCAGAAACATGGGTTGCTATTAGAGATGAATTTCAATGTCTGTCTCTGCCGAGTGTTTATTAATAATCTTGCTAATCCCCACTCTAGTTCCCGGATCTAACTCCTGTCAGATGTCCTTGGGGACATTTTAAATTCTCCCTGACTTCTTGGAGCCAGATGCTTCCTTCTGCCTGGGTTCCTCTCTGATACTTATATTCATGAATATTTCACATTTAATCTCCCTGATTACATTTCCATGTGATGATCATAGTGCATTGGCTACATCTCTCAGGAAAGACATACAGGAAGCCCACAAAAAAAAAGGCTTGAGTTTGCAGGCACAGTGCCCAAGATCTTTGTTCTTGCCACTCAGATGGCCTTCCATCATGGACAGTGACTGGGAGATGCTGCCTGGTGGGCTTTGCATGTGGCCTCTTGGTCTAGGGCTTTGCACCCTGGCTCATGACCATAAGGGACTGGCATTTTCACTCAGGGATCAAATGGCACCAGGACCCGCCCTGTGTCCTGGAGGACCACATGTGGGTCCTTGTGACCAGAGTTGCTCAATAGCTTCCCAGCCCCCAGACAGGCCCCATCCTTCCTGCAATGTTATCATTGCTGCCAAGTACCTCCAGTCTGAGAGAAGAAATTGATGAACTTATCTGTACCGGGAAGGAAAAAATTAGCCCCAAATGCCCAAGGGCTTGTGCTTTAAAAGTCAGCCCAGGGAAATGACAGTGAGGCTTAACACTCTCATGGGATGGATGGGGTGGAGGGTTATGGAGAAGATGCATGATTGGAAGGCTATAGATTTAGAAGTCATCAGTGTGAACATGTTAATCCAAGCTGTAGGAGATATCAGGGTTCCCCAGAGAGATAGGAGGAGGACTGAGGTCAGGACTCTGCAGAGGAAGCAAAGGACTGTGGGATGAGATAGAAATGAGTGTCCTGAAAGCCAGTGAAGGAAACGACTTCCAAATGGATGTGGGATGTGTGACATGTGACAAATGCTACAGAAAAAGTAATGTGACTAGGACATTGTAAAGGTGCCAATGCTTCCCTGGTAGGGTCCCACAGGCACCTTTGAGAAGCCTCCTCAGGTTGCTTTGGGAGTGAGCCCTCCCTGTGGCCTGAAGGGAAAGCCAGAGCCCAAACTGTCCGGTCTCCATGTTTCCTACCGGTAGCCCCTGCCAGGCTGTTTTGGCTGCAGAGAGGCATGTAAGGGCCACTAGAGCCTGCTTCTCCAAGGCTTCAGGGAACAGGTGCTGTCAGTAAGAAGTCTCCCAAGGAGGAGCTGAGCCAGGGAGGCAAAGGATAAGGATTGGAAAGGTTTGTGGCCTGGGAAGTTGCTTGAGATGCAGCCACTGCGGCACACAACCTTTCCAGCACAGAGCCTCCTGCCGGGTCCACCTCAACCACAGCTAAGGGTTGGGGGTCAGAGCAGAGGACAGAAGCCCAGGTTCTGCCCTCAGGAACTTGCGAACACAGCCCACGCAGGGCCTTGTGCTCTAGGTGTCTTTAAGGAACACAGATAAGGTCAGGATTTCCCTCCCAAATATTCTAGACTTTTCCCTTTCCCCTTGGTGACAAGCATGTTTTCGTTTCCACTGCCTCATTCTAAAGGGAACAAAAGCTACCATAATGAGTATACTAGATGTACCAATTAATAATGCAGATTTTTTTCAATAGGTGGAGTTACCCATATGTTGATATATATATGCGATTTGACATGTATGCTATTTTGTTGTATTGACAACAAGCTTCAAAACTTCATATGTCAAATTTTCTGATATTTTTATACCTAAAAATGTCGAATTTCGTGCCAAAAAGCATTTGCGGGAAGTTTTAATTCATTATTTTGAAGAAAAGTGCTGCTGAAAGTTATCGTATACTTCGGGAAGCTTATGGTGAACATGCTCCATCTCAAGATACTTGTGAATGCTGGTTTAAATGCTTTATCCCTAACCAGTTTGGCTCAGTGAATAGAGCGTCGGCCTGTGGACTGAAAGGTCTCAGGTTCAATTCTGCTCAAGGGCATGTACCTTGGTTGCGGGCACATCCCCAGTAGAGTGTGTGCAGGAGGCAACTGATCGATGTTTCTCTCTCATCAATGTTTCTAACTCTCTATTCCTCTCCCTTCCTCTCTGTACACACACAAAAAAAGTCAATAATATAAATTTTTTTTAATAAATAAATGCTTTAAAAGTGATGATTTCTATGTTAAAGACAAAGAATGTTCAGGTCAACTGAAAAAGTTTGAAGACCAACAATTACAAGCATTATTGGATGAAGATGTGTATCAAACTCAAAAACAACTTGCAGAAAGATTAAACGTTGCTCAGCAAACTATTTCCAATCGTTTACA